AAACAGTGTCAAGAAGAGGTTAAAACCCATCTGCTGATAAAGAAGCCAAAAAAGAACAAAAAAAACCCATCCTGTATTTTTCTATGTGGACGACCCTCATCCCAAATAGCGTGCCTGCCAAATTAGGGTCTCTGCTAGTGAAACATCAGTTGCTCTCTTATCCCGAGAAACGGACAAAAGTGGAAAAGCTACCTAATGCTGCGAGGAGAGAGAGAACATGGAACGGAGGGATATGGGACTTTGGCGGCTATCAGCTCCATTTTTTAAAGGAAAATTTGCAATACTCAATAATAGCAGGATTCCTTTCCCAGTGGGAAAACTCTGAAGATATGCAGGTAAAACGCACAGTTCAACATTTCTTAGCGGCAGTGTGTAAGAGGAATCGCAGGTTGTCGAGTTAAACAACAGGCTCCCACCCGGATTCCCCGGTGCCTTGTAATTCCAGGGCCCCCTGCACCTCCTTGTGCGAGGCTGTCTAGACCCACAGTGAGCTCTGCCGTGCACAAGCCAGGTGTGGGGTGGAACGGCTTGCAGCAGTGGATACCACGGTTCCCCTGTGTACCCCTCCAGGGAGTGACCCTAGGTGGGTAGTGCGTCCCACACCAGCCCCCGAGCTCCCCTTGGGGACAGAGGTCCTCTTGGTCATGGTGGTAACAAGTGTAAGACACCCCCCTTTACTGTCTTCTTCCTACCTCACTTCCCCTCTACCACTCAAACCCTCAGAGCCCTCGAAGCTCAGCATCCTCTGGCTGTGGGGAGACTCCTGGCTTGGACCTGCAATCTCTCCTTTGGCTAAGAGTCGTATTTCCAAGCACCCCGCGTCAACAGATCTGGGGACGCACCGATGCATCTACCCCTTGCCCTCTGAGATTTCCAGTCGTTTTTTTTCCAAGTGGAACGATACAGAAAAGTTGAGGCAGACCCTAGGATCGGGCAGGATTAGTGATTATTTTGGTACTAGGGATTGAACCTAGAGATGCTTAACCACTGAGCTACATCCCCAGCCCTATTTTGCATTTTATTTAGACACAGGGTCTCAGTGAGTTGCTTAGGGCCTCGCCAAGTGGCTGAGGCTGGCTTTGAACTCACGATCCTCCTCCCTCAGCCTCCCAAGCTGCTGGGATGACAGGCGTGAGCCACTGTGCCTGGTTATTTTTAAAACTTTAATCCAATTTCCCTACTCAACTACTGGAGGGAAAAAAAAATGGTATACAGGCTTTAAACAAGTAAATTTAAAGAGCATTCCAAGTTCTCTTTTATTCTTTTGGCTGCCGGAAAAATAAGTAATAATAATAATACTGATTTCACCCGTTCTGTAATCCTGGATAGATTCTGGAGCAGGTGGGAGTTGGTGGTCATCCGGAGCAGGGTATGCATGAAAGTGAGTTACTGATCCATGCATTCGATTACTTTTAATCTATGCACTGAGAATTCCCTATAAAACACAGATATTTAGTCAAGAGTCCATCAGGGCAGAATAAATGAGTTAAAAAGAAATTACCTTAAACAGTCACCAGTGCATTTTGGCAAACTACAGACTCATTTCGAATTTAACACAATCATAAGGAAGATAATGGGAAGAATTTTGGCCTTTTCTATGAAAATTGGGGTTATAGCCTACGGAAGCCCAGCAGTGAGGCTAAAGTAAAGAGAATTATTTTTTTTTTAATCATTCTTTCCTTTTCCTACTTAATTTTATTTCCAGAGGTGTTCGTGCAGATGAAAAAAAAACATTAGATGATTGCTTGCCCTTGGACATGGTGTACGACTTTGGGGACACTGATTCTTTCTTAAAGCAATGTTAAATCGCCAGAAGGCGGGCACGATTCTGCAGCAAAACAGAAATAAATGGGCCTTTATGGACAGAAAAGGCACCAGGAGTTTCGAAACAGGGTAGGCACCATGAACAGTCCTGTTCCACTGGGGAAAGTCAAGGTCAGGAAAAGAAGTTATTTTTCTGATTTCGGCTTCTCTTTTCATAACTCAGGATTCATTCCTTTTTTTTTTTTTTTTTAAATGCGGTGACGTCTGGTCTAGCGGCTCTGACATGTCGGGCACTGGAGTCAGTAACTGCCCCCAAAGACAAAAATATCCGTGGGACGCACAACTTCACGCTGACTCAGCAGAAGACAGAACAGCGAAACGTTCACCGTGTAAAACCTTCGAGGTAGGGAGTGAAAACCGAGAAAGAATGGAGCAGGGGAAATGTGGGTTGGTTGGCGGATTTGGGTTTGTTCGCAATTGTAGGAGGGGCGGCCAGAGGAGGCTTTGCTAAGAAAGAGACGTTGGTGTGGAGGTGGTGGAAGAGGCAGCTTTGCAACTGAATGGAGAAAGAACTTTCTGGGTTCCAAGAAGCAGCAATGCAAAGGTCCAGTGGCCACGGAGAGTTGGGAGTGTCGGGCAGATTTGTGGGAGGAGGTTTGAGAAGGAGGAGGGAGGAGGGTCTTCTAAGACTGTTGACATGGTAAAGAAGATTGCGTCCAATCAAGTTAGACCTGGAGTTATGAGGACGTGCTACCCTCAAGACAGACCCAAGGTAACAGATGTCAACAGAATCACTCAGACTATGGATTTCTTCCAACCCCAAACGTTGGTGATGGTGCTACAGAACTGTAAATAATACAAATTATCGGGTTGTACTCCCATAAAGAATAGGCTTTGTGGCACCGTAGATTATTTTCATAAAATCGTGAGACAATATTTTCCAGACAAGACTTCTCTCCACTTGCGACGGAGTCAGGAAAGACCTGGCGCCATCTTGGTAGAGGTGAAGTCTCCTTTGGGTGGATCTGGGGGGAGCGAGTATGTTCCCCTGTTTAGCTACCTGTGACACTCACGTCATTCTTGTGGTGTGTCCCACTAACGAAGTCATAGAACCTACCATGCATTCTGTGCGGAACTTTTTGATTTCTAAGAGTTTAATAACTAATGTCTGGGATGCGCCTCCCAAGGCAACATTTGGCGCTGGAGTTTGGAGCCTAGTTAGACACACGGGAAACAGAACAATACCTTCCTGGTGGCCGCAATGTTTCAAAGAGGGTGCATTTTTGTTCGACAAAAGCCAAACTAAATTCAAATTAAATTCAGAGGCAGTCGCTCTGATTCTGGTCTATTGTATTGCCCTGTAACACGAAGTGTTGAAACTGAGTAATTTTTCCAACCTTGGGATCCTCCACCTCACCCCATGACGGTCCTGAGACTGTCTGCAGACCTCTGCTTGGGCGCTAAAGGTCTTGTGAGAGCAGGGCTCTATAAAGAATCACGGGAGTCAGGAGGTGCCACCAGTCTTAACAGGTAACATGACTCTGTCCCCAGAGGCGACGAACTGCAGCCTTGTTCTGAAAGTCCCAGCCCAGATCCTGCTAGCTCCTGAGCAGATGGGAACACGTTTGGATCCCCAACGTGTCTGGATCCCCTTTGAACCGTGCAAACAAGGGTGAGAGAGGCCTCCAGCTTTTTATCGACCCCTGCCTCCTAACCTACGATTCATTACTCATTCCACCAGCCTCTCCAAGTGCTCGGGCCACCTGGAGACAGCGTCTGGTCTGACGGTTGGACGTCTTCATCTGCAATTTCCCTTGACAGCAGGCTTAGTTGTGTGCCGTGTTTGCCTCCCTGAAACAAAGGGTACCTTTCTCTTTTTTAAAAAAAAAAAAAAATGACTTTTTCCGAAGAAAGATACAGATCTGCAATGCACCCCGTAACGGAGTCCAAATAATATTTTTTAGTACGAGTTTTCTTCTCGAGTCCTGTGTTGGGCAGAGAAAGTGGTAGCAAATAGAAATGGGCAGACTGTGACGGGGACACCTTGATAGTCATGCCCCAGAAACCGCCACATGTCGCAGCCACACCGTTGATGTTGTAAGGCTGACATTAATCGTTACTACCACCATGCACTCGGCTTACACTTATTAAAATAAATTAGCTTCCATATAATTCTGGGTTAGTAAGTGAAACCTGACATTTTTTTTTTTATCTATAAAACTAGATCTTGGGGCTTGGGTTGTGGCTCAGCGGTAGAGCGCTCGCCTTGCACTTGCAAGACCCTGGGTTCGATCCTCAGCATCACATAAAAATAAATAAGTAAAATAAAGGTATGGTGTCCAACTACAACTAAAAAAAATAAATATTTTTAAAAAACTAGATCTTGATTAGTCAAGTGGAGAATAAATCAGTTTTCAGAGTGCTTTGGAGAAATAAGCCTGAAGATATCATTGCTTTCTGGTTAAATTATGTCCTTCCACTCCTATAGACTAAACTAACCACTGATAGCATAGAGGATCATCTGATTCCACAGAATAAATAGCAATAAACAGGGAATTTCAAAATTGTAGCAATGACCAAAAAAAAAAAAAAAATCTAGGAGGGGTCCTGGTTCTAGACATTATGAAACAAAACTAAGAGATTAATTCACTCAGTTATCAGCTATTTTACGAAAGATGACATTGTATTGCACCTAAAACTCAGGCTTTGTCCCCAAAATTTGTAGAATGATGCTTGGTGGAGAATTTTTTTTTGTACGAGGAATTCAACCCAGGGACACTTAATCACTGAGACACATCCCAACCCTTTTGGTATTTTATTTAGAGACAGGGTCTTGCTGAGTTGCTCAGGGCCTCACTAAGTGGCTGAGGCTGGCTTTGAATTCTCCATCCTCCTGCCTCAGCCTCCTCCCGAGCCGCTGGGGTTACAGGTGTGCGCCACTGTGCCCAGCTTGATGGAGAATCTTAGTGAAGAGTACAAGTCCATCCTGGAAGACCCCAAATTCAAAGTTTAGAAGGCCCCCTTATTACCATTTTCTGTGACAACTTGAAGGAAAAACTCCGCTGGCCTCCTTAACCATAAATGTCCATGGTACCGTCCAACACATCTGGCCCCCTTCTGTAACAACAGCATGGCCACCCGCTGAGCAACCACCGCATGGAGATGGCCATCACATCCCAGGTGCGTGAGGGAGCAAGGCGAGGGTCCCCCACTGGGCGCAGGACAGCGAGACTGACCTTTGGAAGAGCGGAAGTGTTTGCTGGGTGCCGTGAAACCCCGAGTCCCGTGCACGTTGACGGCCGCCACTCGGAACTGGTACCACCTGCTGGGTCTTATGTCGGTCATCTGAACCCGCTCGTCCGTGGTCTGAAGGGACATGTCACAGAGCACGGGTCAGTTTTCATTCTGATGTGTCCACTGGGTGTGTTTCAAAAAAATGACGCAAACTCTTTAGCCAATGCAAATAATAATCATAATAATAATAATAATAATAATAATCTTGACCTCCCTTTGCATAAGCCCCTCTTATCATTTCCAGATACAAAGAGAGTCACGTTTGCATGATAGACGAGAAAGTGAATTCATTCCTAGGTTATAGAAAGAAGATGCCTCTTAAACTCGATTCTGCACACTTGGATTCAAAATATTTGCAACACATTTGGAAATATTCTGACATATTTAGAAAAATATTTTTGGAAGATATTTGGGTGAAAAATATTTGGGGGGAAAAAATGGTCTCTGTACTGAACATGTACGTGCTTCTTTAACTCCCTTATGATGCGCCCCTGGACAGTACAGGTCATCAATATGGAATCATGTGATTAACGATATGATTCGTCCCTTAACACGGACTTCGATAGCATTCAGATCGCCTTGGGTATTCTAAGTCATCTAGCCAGGACTTCAAGTGTAACGGAGGATTTGCACAGCTGCAGGGAAATACTGTGCTGTGAGGGATTTCGAGCATCATCGGATTTTGGAATCTGCAGGGGATCCTGAAAAATAATATCCTGCATGGCTATCCAGACACAACTGTCTATTCTTGTGCAATTAAAAAAAAATAGATACTGGGTGAGACACGTAGGTTTTCTTGCACCTACTGCTAGGGTCTCAAGATAGCAAGTAACTTTAGCAGCCTTTGGCCAGATGGGATGTACTGACTTCCAACGTCTGGTGCCGTCTCACCTTGGCTTTGAGGGTGAAGCTGGGGAAATCGGACGGAATCCGACATTCCCAAGCTTCCTAACGGTAATTCATTATGGCAATGCGCTTACGTCCATCTCTCAAAGCTCCACATTTCTGAGACCAAAAGAAGGGTAAGACTCAAATGTGGCGTTCCACCCGGTTGGGCTGCATCCGAGACAATTTGGGATGACTTTGGCATGTAGCGTTTTAGCTCTGAGTTTGAGAGACTTAAAGCCGGAATGGTAACCCGGAGCACTGGGACAAAGAATCGCATGTGGCCTGAGCTAGCAAAGGTAACAGGAATCGAACGATGATTTTCCGTGTTGCTTTGACACCAAGCTCTTCCCTTATTCCTTTCGTCCTGACGCAGGCAATAGTCAGTGAACGCGCTGTGCTTAAAGCGTGCGGAGGACACTCTCCAGGAAGGGACTCACCTGGGCCACCGTCTGCCACTGAGTGGCATCGTCCTCGCTGGGGTGGATGCCGTGATTCCATCTTCTTTGCACCACGTAGATGACGGGCTCAATGGACACGTTGAATTTCGAGGACCACTTCACCTCCAGCTGCCCCGACTGGTGCTCGGTAAACCGTAATTCCTTCCTGGGCTTCAAGGGGACCCCTGGAAGCAGACCATGTCAGTTCAAGCCATGTGCATGGGACCCCAAGTGCAGGTACGTGCTGAGCGAGGAAACCGACAAGAGAGACCAGTCTCCTCTGCCCCCCCACCAAGATTCCATCTCCTTTCGTAAACGTGACCTCTCCGCATCGGGTGTCACAGGGGACATGTGCATTTGCACCATAGATCCCATCTTTGAACCCGCTTTCCCAGAAACACACAATCGCCGGCTGATGGTATTATTATTATTATTGTTATCATGCCCCGTCGTCTTTCATTCTGTTTTCCGACTGTGGACACTTAAGTACTTCCAGACTCACACCAAATGCCACCCCCCCTCTGCGTCTCTTTCCCTAAATTTCCCAGTTGGAAAAAAAAAAAAAAAAAAAAAGGATCCATTCTCTGGGGCCTCTCGACTCCCGAACGCACAACTGTCAGGATGTGCCTTTAACTGCTTCTTGCTGCAGGGAGCTCATTTAACGATGCCTGTCTGCTGCATGAAGCTACAGCCCCCAGAGGTCTTTCCCACCTCTTGCCATGTCCCAGAGGGGAGAACATGACGCAGCACCAAACGGTCACTGAATATTTGCTGGAGGAACCACCTCCCCGACTTTTCTGTACTCCAGGCAAGAATGAACCCGGGGAAATGAGAAAAGTGGGAAACATTTGCCTAAACCTTTTCGACAGTGGTGAGCCCTCCGCTCCAAACTCACTTCCAAAAGGGAACCCTGATCCCGGGTATTGTGTGCTGCCTTCCCGACCGTGTATACTTTCAAATAACCCTTCTCTCTTCTATCATGGCTATATTACTCAAATACACATTTACTTTATTATTTTTTTCTAAGAAAAGAAGGTTCATACTAAAAACCAAAGCAGTCAAAATGTTTTCAAGTAGAACAGATTTTTTTTTGTTTGTTTCTTTGCATTGTCTATAGTATTTTTTTCCCAGTTTTAAAAGAATTTTTTTTATAGATAAGATGGGAATCCCTAAGTTAATTCCTGACCAATTTAATACCACAAGCAGGTCTCTATTCCTTGTGTCATGAAAAAGGGTACTCAAACTGGTTCGGAGTGATGAGAATCCAAACTGAGCGGAAAGATCGCTTGGTGTCCTTCTTGGGTTTGAGATGGGCAGGCAGGTGACAGACGCGTGATTCTACCGAGAGGCTATGCAGGTCTGGGGACATGTCCTGGTGCAGAAGATGACCAGTTCCTTCTGCAGACTTTCGGAGCGGTTTCCGAGACATGCGAATCCGCCCTTCTCCCTGGCTGCCTGCCACGTGATCTTCTAGGGCGAATACAGTGGTGGTGAATATCCCCCGCCGTTCCACTAACCTGAACCTATGGGAAGCACGTGTGCAAGCATCCAGAGCCCTTTGCCGAAAGGATTCAGTCTGGAGTAGCATTCCACCACCGACAGCCTTCCCCGGACGTAATGAGCCTCAGGGCCACGGTCGGTTCAAATTTCTCCATTAAAAAAAATCTCCTTAATTGGGATGTGCAACGCTCCTGCAATCTGCATGTTAAGAGACGGTCCATCTGCTTTGCATTAGGGGTAGCTGGCCCCCTTGATTGGAAGTCATCGCAGCTCGGCTCTGTAATTGTGTGCAGATGGAGGCCCCACACCCCCAGGACCTCCAGCCCTCTCTGCCAGAGCACACCAGCCTCCTGAGCCCAAGGAGCATCCCGATTGCATAACCAGATGTGGACATGGATCACTCCTTCCATCTCCCTAAAAGATTTTCTCCCTAAAAGCTGTTTTTGAACCAATTAGCCGTCTGAAATCTAAACTATCCTGATGAGAAATGTAAAAATATTATCATATGTCACCCCACGAGATGTGACAAAATAGGTCCTTTTTTTTTTCTCTTTAAAATGCAAAAAAAAATATATTTTGGTAGCATCAAAGCGACAAAAAACCAGGCTTTTAAATGATGCTAAGAAGAAACTGATAGAAAAATCAATAATGATTGATAATCAACGGTTGCCTAGCCATGTCGAGATTCAGCTCTCAGTGTCAAAGTCTTTCCCTCGTTGGTCTAAATGATTTGAACATACTGTATTAGTTCATCTCCAAAGTCCTGAAACTTGAGTTTCGCATTATTACGATACGTGTGAAAATATTAAATCAACTCTGTCGTCTTTTGAAAAAGAAATAAATGGGCAAATGATTGATTGCTGATTGGTTCGTGACAAAGAGATGAAAGGAGAGGTGGAAATGGGTCTAAAACTTGGTAAAAATTTTAAGTTTCATGGAATGAGAAACTTCCTGCCTCTCCACTCCTGTGAACACTCGGTGTCTTTTATTTCACTGCCCTTCGCTTTATTGAAAATCAAAAGAAGAGAGAGAGAGAAAGTCTGTTGTTTATTTCAAACTATAACACAAGTCCGTTCAAGTTAGCTGCAGAGGCACCGGCTCAGGGTCACCCGTGACATAACCCAATTCTGATGCTCTGACATCGTGGAGAATTCTGCCCGTCAACGTTTTCAAAACACCCGTTGTTTACAAAAACCCAAGTTCTCACATATATATATACTTATAAAGCATGTGAGGGTATAAAATCTGCACCTCTTACCTCCCCTCCTAGACCAAATAGAAAGTGCGGACATGTATGCTCCATTAGCCTAAAACTTTAGTAGCATGCAAAACAGTTACATCGATACTCTTAAATACCAATTTGTTGCAAGAATTCAGAAAACGCCTTGCACACTCAGATGATTCCTTTTTGTGCATGACGAGCTCATGCATGCACCCGGCGCGGGCTGAGGGCGGGTTCCATCTTGCCCTTTGTACCCCAGTGCCCAGAATGGGTCACGGCCAACGAGAGCCGCTCCACCGATGTGGATTCAACTGAAATGTATCAGTGCTGGAAGGTCTGGGGCACATGCGCTTCTTTCCAACTGAAACCCAGGGAACACATGGAGCCCACCTTCCCTAGGATTTCCAAACAGCACCTACCTGGACGACTATCGAATAAGTGAACAAGGAGAAATGGGCAGGTTGGTCATGACTGCCCAGTCGGATCTGGTCCTCTGTGGTCTACACTCTGCATTTAAGTGAAATTCTTCCGCTCCACAAAGTAACCTAAGACTAAGGTCAGTGTGGTGAGGGGAGAAGCGTAGGTTATTCCTTAGCCTTCAATTGCTGATGAACCAGTGATTTTATTCGATTAGAAATGTTTGATAATGACACTTATCTTCATTGGATGATGATGACGAGGAGGAGGAGGAGGAGGAGGAGGAGGATTTCTAATGGTACCCAGTGAGAGCTTTGGTTCGGGATACTATTTCGATAGGTGTTAGACAGCCACCGAGTCACATCAGAACATCCCAAGGTCCTGGGGCCAGCAGCATTAGTTGCTGATGAGAGCAAGCAGGTTGACTTTTATTTGAGAAGGTCAACAAGGGTTCCAAGTTGCTACTAGGCTAAGAGGTTATTGAAAGGATTCTGACGGGATCCATTTGATCCTTCTTGGACACACAAACTAACTCACGGGTAGTCTCAAATGCTCCTGGGAGAGACACACACACACACACACACATATTTATATATATATTTATATGTGTGTGGGTATCATTGTTTCCAAGAATAATTTAGTTTTGTCATTCTTTTTTTAAAAATTTTTCTTTTAGTTGTTGACGAACACAATACCTTGATTTAATTTATTTATTTCTGTGTGGTGCTGAGGATCAAACCCAGTACCTCGTGCGTACGAGGTAAGCATCCTGCCACTGAGCCACAATCTCAGCCCAGTTTTCTCATTTTTATTATGCAAACATCATTGGCTCACTGCAGGCTTCATACAGTCCATTCGTTCTACTGGTGGCTTATGTTCTGTGAATTGCCTCTCTTCCCACAAAATCCAAGTTAGGAGCTCCTTTGTTGCACAAGAGTGACTTTAGCACTTCTTAAAGATCCACTCTGGAACCACCATTTGACCCAGCTATCCCACTCCTCGGTTTATACCCCAAGGACTTAAATCAGCATAGCACAGGGACGCAGCCACATCCATGTTTATAGCAGCTCAATTCACAAGAGCTAAACTGTGGAAGAAACCCAGGTGCCCTTCAATAGACGAATGGAGGAAGAAAAGGTGGTACATCTACACAGTGGAATATTACTCAGCAGTAAAAAAGAATAATATTTTCAGGTAAATGAATGGAGCTGGAGAAGATAAAGTGGATGCTTATCTATAATGGGTGTGTGTGTGTGTGTGTGTGTGTGTGTGTGTGTGTGTGTGGTGGGGAGAATGGAGGAACTTTGATTGGGACAAGTAGAGCATGGGAGACAGGAAAGATGGTGGAATGAGATGGACATCCTCACCCTAGGTACATGTACGACTGCACATGTGGTACGACTCTGCATCCTGCACAACCAGAGAAAGGAAAAGTTGTGCTCCGTTTGTGTACGATGAATCAAAATGCATCCTGCTGTTATAATGTATCACTAATTAGGACAAATAAAAATAAATAAAGAAAAAAAATCCATTCTATTTAGTTCCATACAGGTTCAAATGTGTCTTTATATAATTCATCTCGTTGGTCCTTCCTGGAATTGTTCCTATTTCCTGTGAAACAGGCACGTCTGAAATTCACACCGATTCTCCAGTGTTTTTAATTTTAAATGCCTATTTTCATTGCCATCATCAACTTTTGAAATAGGCTTGTTTTGAAAACCCGGTGAGTTTTACAAAGGGCTTAAAAATGAGTATTCTGACAGCATCCTCTTGGCGAAGAGCGTACAATCAGTCGTCACGGGGAGAAGTTTCATCACATCAAAGTTTTTAGAAATGAAATAGTTTTGGGTGTTTCCAAAGTGACTTGTTGGAGATTACAATAAGAGGGGTGGAAACGATGAAATTCCAGATCTATTCGAGAACTGTCACTCAGTAAGAAGGGTAGAGCGCCAAATATTTTGAATCTGGGACATAAAACTTATGTTGGGGTTCTAAGGATCCAAGAGGCATTTTTTCAGAAAATTGATAACATCAGGTGGATTCTACAGGTTTCAAGGGGAAGGCAATTCCAAGAGGCAGACCGGTGCATTAGTTCTGCACCCCTGTCTCGAGATGACCACTCAAAATATTTACAGTCTGCACAAGGACACGTCTGCTCTCGGGTTGGGCCGACGACAGAAAATCCCCAGCGCAGATGTGTTTATCGTGCATTTTTCAAGTGGTCCTCAACCCCAGCCTCCTTTCTGCGGATTTGCCATGTTTTTATTACAGTGTTACCCCAGTACAGCTTAATCGACTCAGTCTGCCTTTGAGAAGCAAAAAAAAAAAAAAAAAAATACACCAAGTTCATGGATCGCTGTTATCCTTTGTATACGGTCAATTAAAACTCCGGCTGGGCTCTGGGGTGCGTGCCTGTTCGTCCCAGCAACTTGGGAGGCTGAGGCAGGGGAATTGCAAGTTCAAGGCCAGCCTCAGCCACTTTAGCAAAGTCCTAAGCACCTTAGCAAGATCCTGTCTCTTCATAAAATATAAAAATGGGCTGGGGAGAGGGCTCAGTGGTAAAGCCCTCCTGGGTGCAATCCCTGGTGCTATCTTTTTTTAAAAAAAAATCCAACAACAAAACTCCAACTCAGTTGCTTATTAGTGCCTCACATTGTGGCTGAGGTCTGTGCGTGTTTTAAGACACGTGGGTAGGGCCCGGGATGAATGTCCCCCGTGTTTTGCATTCTTGTGGGCATGGCTGAGCCCTACCCCAGCCGCACACTGACAGCCTCCGGGCTTTGCTCTTTACCTTTGTAGAGTGTCTTGGGCACCTGGCAGGTGTGACCGCAGCCGTTGGAGCAGCACTTCTTGACGCCCGAGCACTCGAGGTCCACATCGCAGCTCTCCACGCAGGCGGCCGCAAACCCACTGGCCCTCTCGGGGGCCGGGCAGTCCCCCTGCTTCACCAGCAGGACGTACTGGAGGAACTCGCAGCTGGTTAGGCACTCGTAGTTCTTCTTGGGGAACAGAGGCTGTGGCAGAGAAGCAGAAGGGAGACACAGACAGGATTTTTTTTTCTTTTTTTTTTTTATAAAAGTTTCCACGAAAGACACATGAAGTCCGATGCCCCAGGCACCCTAAAAGAAGAACTTTTATTTTCCATTTTGAGACGGGATCTGGCTAAATTGCTTAGGACTTTGCCGAGTTGCTGAGGCCAGCCTCCTGCCTCAGCCTCCCAAGTCCCTGGGATTATGTGTGTGCACCACCTGACTTTAGATTGCACACAAAGGTCATGCCGCGTGTCTGAGTGAACAGTCTCCTACCTTTACCTTTCCTCTCCGCTCAAAGAGAGCTGCCCAAAATCTGTCATGGGGGCTGGGGGTGGAGCGCCCACCCTTAGTATGCATGAGGCTCTGGGTTCCGTCCCAGAAGCAGAAACAGAAACCAGGATGGTAGACAGTGACAAAGCCCACTGAATGCAATTCAAGGGGACTTTGCGGACTGCATGCGTGACCTATATTTTCATTTTCTAATAGTCAAGGCTTCTCCATTTTCTTCATTTGCCTTAACGCTAGTGAGGACAGCGCAGTAGCCTTCCCGTGGAGCCCTCCTGATCCTGTCCGTGTCCACGCGTTGACCCTCTCCTGGCGTCACCTCGCACAGTGGCCTGAGCCCGTAAAATGCAATGCATCTCAACGATGCCCGGGTTTTAGAGCTGAGGTGCCCAGGCCACCTGCGACCAAGAGGGGCTCGTCGGTAAGTGGTGCAGAGGGACAACGTGGGTGGCCTTCAACATGGATGTGCGCCTGCGCCTTGCATCCCCTTCTCACCCTTGAGACGTGAGCTGCTGTCTCGAGACGCTGGCTCTTTCTGCCCAGGAGCCGAGGAGCGTCTGAGGCTCCTGAAAGCTTCCCCACGCAGAGGCTGGAAGACAGCATGACATTTTGGGTTCCTTGGCCTCCGCTGGGCTTATGAAAGGACAGCCAAGATGCCCCCCACAGCCCAACCTAACCCTATATTGTGGTTTCGATGTGGTGTCCCCCAAAAGCTCATGTGTGGAACAATGCAAGAAAGTTGAGAGGTGGAATGATTGAGTTATGAGTGCTAGAACCTACTTAGTGGATTAATCCACTTGAATGGATTGAATGGTGACTGCAGCAGGTGGGGTGTGGCTGGAGGAGGGGGTCCCTGGGCTGTGCCTTTGGGGTCTCTGTCCTGTCCCTG